TTCATTTTCTACTTTCTTGAGGTATAAAGTTAGGTTCTTTATTTGACAGCTTTCTAACTTCTTAACATATGTGTTTATTGCTATAAACTTTCCTCTCAGAACTGCTTTTGTTGCACCCCACAAGATTTGATATGTTATGTTTCCATTTTCATTTGTTTGGAGATAATTGTTTATTTCCCTTTTAATTATCTTCTTTCACCCATTCATTGTTCAGAACTGTTTCATTTCGTTTCCTCATATTTGCTGGACGTCTCACTTTCCTATTGCCGTTAACTTCTAGTTTCACACCACTGATGTCAGAAATGATAGTTGGCATGATTTCAATCTTCTTAAATTTGCTAACACTTGTTTTGCATCTTTTCATATGCCCTATTCCGGAGAATGTTCCATATGCTCTTGCAAAGAATGCGTATTCTGCTGCTGTTGTATGGAACGTCTCGTGTATGTCTGCTAAGTCCATTTCTCTGAAGCATGGTTGATTCCAACATTTTTGTGTTGATTTTCCATCTGGACAATTTATCCTTTGCTGATAGTGGAGTATTGAAATCTCCTACTATTATTGGTGTCCATTTCTCCCTTAAGGTCTGTTAGTATTTGCTTAAAAATTTCAGGGCTTGAGTCTTGGGAATGCTTATATTCGTAAGTGTTTTATCTTCTTGATGTACTGACCACTTTATGATTATTTAATGTCCTTTCTGTCTCTTGTTACCTTTTTTGGCTTGAAGTCTGTTTCGCCTGATATAAATATGGCCACGCCCATTTTCTTTTGGTTTCTACTTAGAATATCTTCTGGTTTTGTGTATTTTGTCTTTTCATTTCAGCTTGCAAAGCTTCTTTCCCCATTTTTTTGTAAAGCAGGTCTGTTAGTGGCGAACACCTCCTCTTTTGTTTGTCTAACAAAGCCTTTATTTCTCCTTCATAACTGAAGGATAACTTTGCAGAATAGAGTATCGTTGGCTGGCAATACTTTGTATATGTCACTCAACTCTCTCCTGGTCTATAGAGTTTCTGCTGAAAAATCTGCTGACAGCCTAATGGAGGTTCTCTTTTTTCCCCTTGGCTGCCTTTAAAATTCTTTATTTACTATTGACTTTTAATAGCTTCATTATAATGTGTCTTGGAGAAAGTCTTTTCCATTGAGATAATTTGGTGTTCTGTTAGCTTTATGGATTTGTGTGTTTAGTTCTTTCTGCAGGTTTGGGAAGTCCAAGATACTGTTTCTTTTTAAGCTCATTGCCTTCTCCTTCTCTTTCTCTTCTGGAATGATCATTATTCTTTTTTTTTTTTAATTGAGTTATAGTCAGTTTACAATGTTGTGTCAATTTCCAGTGTAGAGCACAAGTTTTCAGTTATACATGAACATATGTATATTCATTGTCACATTCTTTTTCACCGTGAGCTACCACAAGATCTTGTATATATTTCCCTGTGCTACACAGTGTAATCTTGTTTATCTATTCTGCATATGCCTGTCAGTATCTACAAATCTCGAACTTCCAGTCTGTCCCTTCCCACCCCCAAAACCTGGCAACCACAAGTTTATATTCTATGTCTATGAGTCTGCTCCTATTTTGCATTTATGTTCATTTTTTTTTAAGATTCCATATATGAATGATCTCATATGATATTTTTCTTTCTCTTTCTGGCTTATTTCACTTAGAATAACATAGAATGATCATTATTCTTATGTTGACTTTTCTAATGGAACCTAATAGCTTGCTAAAGTTTGGAGCATGTACATAAAAAAACTGGCAGAAAAAGATAATGGCAGAGTGTGGGGAGATGTGCCCTTAGAACTGGGGCTTTGGGTATGCTCATGGCCTGGTAGGGGATCTATGGGGGGAAATTCTGCAGATCTGTGGACAGATCTCTTGCTAGAAACCTGGGGCAGACAGCAGGACATATACTCTGTCAGTTCTCTTTGACTGCCTTCTTTCCTTTCCTAGCCTCCCCTCAGCCATGGAGGTATCTCCTCAGAGATCCAGGTTTTGCTGAAGAACAGCTGGACCCTCCAGCTGAAGCCCATGTGACTGGGCAGACAGTCATCCACCCTTTTCACTTCCTCTGTTAGAAAGTTCTCTGGTGCTTCTGATGCCACTGCTATTGACCCGTGTGCCACTGACCCTGGTGTCATTGCCTCCAACATCACTTCTGCTGTTGCCCTGTCACAGCCACAACTCCCTTGGGTCCATACCCTTCCCTGAGGTCCAATCCACACACTTTCCGATGCACAGATGATTGGATCTCTTGGGTATTCTGACGTACTGTACAGAGGTGCTTTTGTTCAGTTACAGATATCTGTTTAGTTGCAAATTCAAGGGGAGAAAAAATGACTCATGCCTCCATGATGCTAACATCAATCCTGTGTGTTGATTTTATATCCTACAAATTTACTGAATTTGTAGATTAGTTCCAACATTTTTTGGTTGAGTCTTTGTGATTTTATAAATACAAGATCATGTCCTCTACAAATAATGACAATTTTACTTCTTCATTTCCAATTCGGGTGCCTTTTCATCCCTTCGACTTGCCTAATTTTTTGACTAGGAATTCTAGAACTATATTGAATAAAGGTTGTGAAAGGGGGCATCCTTGTTTTGTTCCTGATCTTAGAGGAAAAGCTTTCAATTTTTCTTCATTGAATATAATGTTAGCTGTGGGTTTGCAGCGTATGGGCATCATTATGTTGAGATATGTTCCCTTTAACACCAAGGTGTCAGGGCTTTTATCATGAGGAAATATTGTGTTTTTTCAAATGCTTTTTCTGTATCCACTAATCAAGTGATTTTATCTGACCCTTTATTAATGTAACATATTACATTTATTAATTTGCTTTATGTTAATCCACCCTTGCATTCCAGGGATAAATCACACTTGATTGCAGCCATTTTGTTACCCTTTAATGTGGTCTTGAATTCTGTTTCCAAATATTTTTTGAGAATTTTTGCATTTATATTCATCAAGGATATTGGCCTACATTTTCTTTCTTATAGTGATCTTATCTGGCTATGGTATCAGGGTAATAGGTAATATTGGTCTCATAAAATGTGTTTGGGAGTATTACCTCTTCTTCAATTTTTTTTGTAAGAGTTTTAGAAGGATAATTCTCCATTCTCCATAATTCTCCATTAACTCCTTGGTAAAATTTACCAGTAATGCTGTCTGGTCATGACATTTTCTGTGTTCGGAGGATTTTGATAACTGATTCAATCTCTTAATTTATTGGTCTGTTCAGATTTTCTATTTCTTATTAATCCAGTGTTTGTAGGTTGTGTGTTTCCAGATATGTATCCATTTCTTTTAGGTTATATAACTTCTTGGCTAATAATGGTTCATACTAGTCTCTTATGATCCTACGTATTTCTCTACTGTCAGATTTAACGTCTCTCCTTTCATTTCTGATTTCATTTATTTAAGTGTTCTCTCTCTTATCTTAGTCTGACTAAAGGTTTTTAATTTTGTTTATCTTTTCAAAGGACTAGCTCTTAGCTTCATTGATCTATTCTATTAATTTTTCTGGTCTCCATTTCATTTGTTTCCAGTCTGATCTTGATTATTTTCTTCCATCTGTTAACTTTGAATTTAACTTGCTTGTCTTTTTCTAGTTCCTTCAGGTGTAAAATTATGTTGAGCTATTTCTAATTTCATAATGTATGCGTTTATTGCTATAAGGTTTCTTCTCAGGACTGCTTTTACAGTGCCCAACAGGACTTCATATGTTGTATTTCCATTTTCATTTGTTTCGAGATAATTTTTAAATTAGTTGAGTTACCACATAGTTGTAAATTTCCAGTTTTCCCTTGTTGATTTCTAGTTCACACCACTGAGGTCAGAAATGATAATTGGCATGATCAATCTTCTACAATTTTCTAAGCCTTATTTTGTGTCTTCTCATAGGATCTATCCTGGTGAAATTTCCATGTACACTAGTGGAGAACATGCATTTTGCTGCTGTTAGATGGAATGTTCTGGATTCGCCTGTTAAGTCCATTTATCTAACAACTGATTCAAGTCCAATGTTTTCTGTTGGTTTTCTGTTTGCTATCGGCTATCCCTTGCTGATAGCACAGTATTGAACCCTACTAGTCCTGTATTCCTTGTTTCACACGTCAGATCTGGTAGTGTTTGCTTAAGACATTTAGGCAATCCAATTAATGTTGGGTGCATTTATTCATGGTTGTTATATCTTCCTGGTGTGTTGATCGCTTTACCATTATACACTGACCTTCTTTGTCTTGTGTCACCATTTTTGGCTTAAAATCCATTTTGTCTGATGTAAGTATAGCTACCCTCTTTCTTTGGTTTCCATCACTTAGAATATTTTCTTATATCCCTTTCCTTTGAGCCTACCTGTTTCTTTAGAACTGAAAGGAATCTCTTGTGAGCAGTATACAGTTAGGTCTTTTTTTTTAATCTACCCATATATTCTGCTCCTTTTTATTTCAATACATCTACATATACAATGATTTAAAAAAATTTTTTTAACAGTGGTTTATGTATTTATTTACGGTTTTTTTTTTGGAGTGGGGAAGTAACTAGGTTTATTTACATCTTAATTTTTAGAGGAGGCACTGGGGATTGAACCCAGGACCTCATGCATGTTAAGCATGCGCTCTGCCACTTGAGCTACACCCTCTCCCCAACACATACAGTGATTATATGTAAGGACTCGCTACTATCATCTTATTGTTTGCCTTGTGGTTGTTTGATATCTCCACTTTTGTTTTTCTTCCTGTATAAATTGGTGTATTTCCATGATCATATGCTCTGTCTCCTCCTTTTTGTTTTGTGAGTCCAATCTAAGTTTTTGCTTTGTGGTGGCCAAGAGGTTTATATAAAATATCTCATAGATAAATCAGTCCATTTTATGCAGACAGTAACTTATCTTTATTCAATTATTAAGGCTCCACACTTTCACTCCTCCTTTTATATTTCTGATATCACTATTTACCTCTTTTATGCTGTGTGTTAGTAGCAAAATTTTGTATTTCTGGTCATACTGTAGTTCTCATAATATTCTTTTCTTTTAACTTCTACTCTGTTAACCATAGTTAAGTGGTTAACACACCATTCTAATACAAAATTACAAAATCTGAGTGTTTATTTTTCCCCCAGCAAAGTGTTATGTACTCTTACACGTTTTCATGTAACTGATTGGCAACTTTATAATCAGTTTCAAGAACTTCTTGTAGTACTTCTTGCAATAAAAAAAAAAATCTGATGGTGGTGAACTCCCTCACTTTTTTCTTGTTGGGCAAATCTTTATTTTTCCTTCATATTTTGCTGGACTTTGCTGGACTTTGGGTTCTTGACTGGCAATTTTATCATTCAGCTCTTTTAAAATGTCTTTTCACTCCCCTGGCTTGTAAAGTTCCTTCTGAGAAATTTGCTAATTGCCTAATAGGGGTTCTTTTGTAGCTTACCCTCTTGTTCCCCCCCGGCTGTCTTTAATATTCTTTCTTTATCCTTGATTTTTACCATTTCATTACAATGTGTCTTGGAGAAGCTCTTTTGCATTGTGATAATGGGGTGTTCTGTTAGCTTTATGCACTTGTATGTCCTGTTCCTTCTCCAGATTTGGGAAGTTATCAGTTTTTATTCTTCCAATAAACTCTCTGCCCACTTCCTCTCTTTCTGGTATACCAATTATTATTATATTTGCTTTCTGATCAACACCGATAGGTCTTGCAAGGTTTCCTCGCTTTTTAATACTTTTGTTCTCTCTCCCCATTGAGCTATTCCTATATTCCTGTCCGACATGTCACTTACTCTGTCTTCCATCTGGTCTCCCTTGTTACTGACGCTCTTAGCTGCATTCTTCATTTCTTTCATGCATTCTTTAGCTCCAGAATTTCTCTTTAGTGTTTTAAAAATTGTTTCCGTCTCTTCAGTAAAGAACTTTCTGTCTACTGCTTATTTTTAATTGAAGTATAGTTGGCTTACAATGTTGTGTGAGTTTGTTACAGTGTTAGTGTGTTACAATGTTGTGTACAGCTAGTGATTCAGATACATACCCCTGTGTTACACAGTAGGATCTTGTTCTTTACCTATTTTGTGTATAGTTGTTTGTACTGCTAATCTCAAACTCCTAATTTATCCCTCACCCCCCCCCCATTCCCCTTTGGTAACCATAGGTTTGTTTTCTATGTCTGTGAGTTGATTTCTGTTTTATAAATAAGTTCGTTTGTGTCATTTTTAAGTTTTCACATATAAGTGCTATCATGTGATATTTGTCTTCCTCTGACTTATTTCACTTAATATAATAATATCTAGGTTTCCATCCATGTTGTCGCAAATGGCATTTCCTTTTGTTATGGTTGAGTAATACACAGGCACATCTTCTTTATCCAGTCACCTGTCGATGGACATTTAGGCTGTCTCCATGTCTTAGCTGTTGTAAATTGTGCTGCTGTGAACAGTGGGGCGCATGTGTCTTTTTGAATTAGTGTTTTCTCCAGATATATGCCCAGAAGTGGGATTGATGGATCATATGGTAAGTCTACTTTTAGTTTTTTTTAGGAACCTCCATACTGTTTTCCATAGTGGCTGCACCAAATTACATTTCTACCAACAGTATAGGAGGGTTCCTCTTCTCTAAATCCTCCCCACCATGTATTATTTGTGGACATTCTCACGATGGCCATCCTGACCGGTGTGAGGTGACACCTCATTGTAGTTTTGATTGGCATTTCTCTGATAATTGGCGATACTGAGCATCTTTTCACGTGCCTGTTGACCATCTGTGTGTCTTCATTGGAGAAATATCTGTTTAGGTCTTCTGTCCATTTTTTGTTTGCATTGTTTGTTGTTGTTGAGTGGTATGAGCTGTTTATATATTCTGGAAGTTAAGCCCTTGTCGGTTGCATCATTTGCAAATATTTTCTCCCAGTCTGTAGCTTGTCTTTTCATTTTGTTTATGGTTTCCTTTGCTGTTTTCTGCATTAGCTTTGCCCGATAGAGTATTCTTTGCTGGCAATTTTTTTCTTTAAACAATTTGAATATATTATTCCATTCTCAACTGGCCTGTAGAGTTTCTGCTGAAAAGTCCACTAACAGCCTAATGTAGGTTACTTCCCCACCCCCAGCTGCCTTTAGTATTACCTGTTTACTTCTGATTTTTCATAGTTTAATTGTATTGTGTCTTGGAGATGGTCTTTTGGTATTGAAAACAATAATTTATTATAATAATAATTTATAATAATTAATAATAATAACTAAAAATAGGGTGGTCTATTAACTTCATAACTTGGATATTCAAGTCTTTCCCAAGATTTGGGAATTTCCCAGCCATTATTCCTTTAAATAAACTCTCTACACTCCTCTTCCAATCTTCCCTGTATGGAATATAGATCACTCTAATATATGTCCTTTTAATGGGTTCCCATTTGGTCACACAGGTTTTCCTCACTGTTTTAAATTCTTTATTTTTTTCTGTGTTATTTCAAAATTCCTATCACCTTCGTCCTTGGTCCTCTCTCTCATCTTTTCTACAGGTGCTCCCTTTGCATCCTGTATCTCCCTCAATGAATTCTTCAGCCACGGAATTTCTGTTTGATTTAAAAAAAATAAGGTTTCGTTTCATAGCAGCAACTATTTACAACAGCCAAGACATGGAGACAGCCGTAAATGTCCATCGAATGGATGACTGGATAAA